TTCTAGGATTGATATAAATTAAATTTACTGCAGAGATTTTTTAAAAAGGGATATGGATAGGAAAGGAAGTTAAATTATCATTATTTTGTTGTTGCTGTTGGTACTGGAAATTGAATTCAGGACCTTGCACTTGCCAGGCAGGTGCTTGTGTCACTGAGCTACATCTCCAGCAAATTATCATTATTTGCAGTTGGCATGATCCTCTACACAGAAGACTTACAGAGAGAGAGAGAGAGAATATCCACATCAGTAAAATTAGAAATGAAAAAAGGTGAAATTACAGTGGATGCCACTGAAATCCAGAGGCTTGTTAGAAACTATTTTGAAGATTATATTCCAATAAATTCAAGATGAAATAGATAAATTCCTAGACACATATGACTTGAAACCACAGTTGAACCAAGAAGACATAAAAACCCTGAACAGACCAATAACAAGCAATGAACTTGATGCACAGGTCAAACCTGTACGAGCCAAGGAAGCCCAGGGTCCAGGGCACTCACCACTGAACTCTACTAGAACCTGACAGGACACCAGCACTCCTCAGACATCTCCGCGTAACTGAGGAGGAAGGAATGCTTCCCAACTCACCCCACAGGGCAGTGTCACTCTGAAAGCAAAGCTGGGCAAAGTCTCCACAAAAAAAGAAAATGTAGGCCAGTATCCTTGATGAACACAGATGCAAACATGCTCAATAAGATACTGCGTGTGTGTGCGTGTGCATGCGTGTGCACGCTTCACTGGGAATTGAACCCAGGGCTTTTGCACCAAGCTACATCCCCAGCTGTCCCTCCTTTCTTTTTTTAAAAGCCAAGTTTTGCTCAGGCTGAGCTCAAACTCACAACCCTCTTCCTTGAGCCTCCTGAGTGCTGGATTATAGGTGTATGTCACCACACCTGGTCTCCAGAAGATACATGCAAACAGAATTTAACAAATTGTGAAAAGTTATAAATAGAACTTAACAATGACTACAAAGATTATATACCATGACCTAACGGCTTTATGCCAAGGATGCAAGGATGGTTCAAGAGCCACAACTTAGTTCCTCTAATACATCACATAAACAGAGTCGATTAAAAAAAAAAAATCAAATGATCATCTCCACAGATAAAGAAAAAATCCTCTGACAGAATCTAATATTCCTTCATGCTAAAAACCATGATGAAAATAGCTGTAGAAGGACCTTACCTCAAACTGGTAACAGCTACATATGACAAACCCACGGCCAACCTCCCACAGAATGGGAAAAACTGAGTGCACTGCCTCTAAAGTCAGGAACGAGACCCGGTGCTTCACCCCTCAGTTCTGTAGAGCCCTCAAAACTTTAGCCAGAGCAATTAGGCAAGAAAAAGAAATAAAGGGATACAAATAGGAAAGGAAAAAGTAAATGACATGATCTTTCATGACAAGAAAAAGAAATAAAAGGATACAAATAGGAAAGGAAAAAGTACATGACATGATCTTTCATATATAAGACCCTAAAAACCTCACGAGAGATGCTTAGATCTGATAAACAACATCAGCAAAGTGTCAGGCTACAAAATCAACAGAGGTCTATAACATCCCTGTATATCAAGAATGAACCCACTGCCAGGCGTAGTGGCGCATGCCTGTAACCCTAGCACTTGGGAAGTGGTGACAGGAAGATCTCTGTCAGCTTGAGGCCAGCCTGCTCTATGAAGTGAGTCCAAAGCCAGCCTGAACTGCATAGCAAGATCTGGTCTCAAAAAACAAAATAAAACAAAAAAACAAACCCACCAAGAATGAACTCTGGAAAACAATCCCATTCACAACAGTCCAAAAAACTGGGCATGGTGATGCATGCCTTTATGTAATCCCAGCACTTGGATGGAGGCTGAGGCAGGAGGATCATTTGCAAGTTTGAGGTCAGCCTGGGCTACAGAGTGAGTTCAAGGTCAGCCTGAACTGCATATGGAGACCCTGCCTCAAAAAGACAAAGCAAAAACAAAGGGTCATGAGGGTGCTTACTGAGATCCTAGCCAGCTAGGAAGACAAGACAGGAGGATTGCAAGTTCTAGGCCAGCCTGGTCAACTTAGCAAAATCCTGTCTCAAAATCAAAAGGGCTGTGGGGGGGGGAGGTCAGGGGGTTGATCTCCGGCAAAGTCAAAAAGTTACACTGCATTATCTAAAAGCTAAGAAAAGGTTACAGTGCGACGTGCTCCTTCCCTCAGTACTCTACGCTCTTCCCACTGAGCGCCGGAGTCCAGACTCCTGGGCGCCCGCTCCTGCGTCTCCACGCTGCGTCACATACGGCAGGGCTGTCTGCGGTCTCCGCACGACCCGAGCGGCTGTCCTTCAACCTTCCCACTTTTGGCAACTGCTTCCCAGGCGGCGTGAAACGCCAGTCCTCCCCACCACACGGGCCTAAGTACCGTAGAGCCTAACTGCTCCGGTCCAGCACTCACCCATTTTCCTTGGCCCAGGACCTTCTGCGACAAGCAGGAGGCAGCCGCCGCGACCTTAGAAGGGTGGTAGTGCACCATGTCGTAGTCGGTGAGCGTCAGCTCCATCAGGTACTTGGCTAAGGTGTGCTGCTCCACGTCCACCTGCCAAGGACACTGCATTACACGCGGCGCAGGAGCGGCACAGCGGCACCAGCACCCGGCACCGCGCCAGGTGACCTGACGGCAAACCTTCTAGAGCTTTCCAAGATACAGACGGCCGGCTGCAGCGCAGCAGCCAGGCTCACCACCGCCGGCCCCCTCCATGGTGCTCAGGAAGTGCTCTACCGCACGGCGTGTTACAGACCCGAAGCTGAAGCCTATTCCCTTACGAGCTGCTGTGACCAGCAAGGACCAGTACCTGAAGGAAGCTTGCTAGCCACTCAGAAGCTCTCCCTTCACTAGGTCAGGTTCCCGGACTTCAAAGATACGACAGAGGCGCGGGCACTCACCTCCCCGGCTTTCGACGCCCGCCGTAAGAAATGCAGGGGCAGGGGGCGGCCCAACTCAAACTTCAGCTCTTTCAGGATGAGCGTTTCCATTTCTCGGATCTGGGCGCTGGTGTAGGCGTTGTCTGTGATGTAAACAAAGTCTTCGATATTCGGAGAAAACATCTCCTCGTACTTGGACGCCAGGAGCAGGGCGGTGATCCCCACCAGCTGGAGCTTCTTGCGGGAGACCGGCTGAGCCTGGGGGAAGAAAGGTGTCAGAGGTCACTCCCGCCGGACACCAGCCCATGGTCACCCAGTTGCCGAGGAGGGAAGAACCCAAGCCTGTTCGCCAGGTCCCTCGTGACCGCCCCCAGCCCCAGGGTGGGCTCATGGAGACGAGCTCAGGCAGGATAGCAGAGGACTTCAACGCACAGCTCGAGGGCTGCCCCAATCCTCGCCAGAGCCACCAGCTTCAGCTTGAACACATCTTTCATTTTTTTTTCTGGTCTTTTTGAGACGGGGTCTCGCTATGCAGGTCAGGCTGGCCTTGAGCTCACTTTGTAGCCCAGGCTGGTCTTGCACTCACAACGATCCTCCTGCCTCAGCCTCCCGGGTGCTGGGATTACAGGCATGCACACTACGCCCGGCTTGAACAGATCTTTCAACTGTGCCTCAGCGTCAGGGAAAATCCGAGTGTCGGGCAGTGGTGGCCAAACTGTGGTCTGTTTGTATCATTAAAAGCTCTAAAAGGTTCGCCATCACTGGGCGGGGCCCAAGTATTTCCTGCAGCTGCCTTCCCTCCTTCCTCCCCCAGTACTGGGATTGAACGCCAGGCCTTTGTCTTGAGCTACATCTGTACTTAGAAGCCTCCTGCCTCAGCCTTCCAGAGTGCTGAGGTTATAGGCCTGCACTACACCTGGCTCTTTTTTTAATTAATTTATTTTTTGATTTTTTGAGACAGGGTCTCGTTATACAGCCCAAGTTGGCCTCAAACTCCTGTCAGTCCTCCTGCCTTGGCCTCCTGGGCCAGGCTTTCTTTTTTTTGTTGTTGTTCTTGCTTCAGCTCTCTCTGTTGAAAATCTACATAAAGGGGCTGGGGACTTAGCTCAGCCGCACAGCGCCTGCCTGGTAAGCGCGACGATCGCCAGGTACCGGAAAAAAAACAACAGAAAACAAAATCTACATAAAATATTGCTGTGCTTTCCCACCCAATGAGTACTCTGTACTGAGAACCACAGAATCCATGTTTACTTAGTATTTTATTTATTTATTTGGTCTTTTGAGACAGGGTCTCACTGTGCAGTTCAGGCTGGTCTTGCTCAGGGCATTATGAAATTAATTATTGCTACACTGTTTGTGTAAAATTTGCACTTGACCTCGCCTTCCATTAACGTTGGTTCTGAATTCCTGACTGCAGGGCTACCACTGGGTAATTAGCACCTGCGCGGCTTACATCTGGCGTGTGTTTGTTACGTGCACGAACTGTGTTCACTGTGTGTAAACAGTCAGTATTTCATGCTTCTCAGCTTACTTTATGCTCCAGATTCTCAGGACACGCAATACGCATACTGTCTTCCTTTAAGGAAAAAAAAGCAGGGCATGTGTGGTGATGCATACCTGCAATCCCAGCACTCAGGAGGCTGAGGCAAGAGGATCTCAGAAAGTTCAAGGTCCGCCTGGGCTGCACCATGAGTTCAAAGCCAGCCTAAACTATGGAGTGAGACCCTGATTCAAAAAAATAAAATAAAATAAAATCCTCAGGGGCTGGGGATGTACCTCAGTGGAATAGCACCTGCCTGTCAAGTGCAAGGTCCTGAGTTCAATTCCTGGCACCAAAAAATCAAATCCTTCCTCTTATTTCTATAGCAATTCTATACTATGAGGATGGTTTTTTTGTTGTTTTTTTTTTTTGTTTTTTTTTTTTTGGTTTTTCTCCGGTACCAGGAACCGAACTCACGACCTTGTACTTGCCAGGCAGGCGCTTTGCCACTGAGCTAAATCCCCAGCCCCACTATGAGGATGTTTTTGATTTGCAATGTCCCCTAAAACTCAATGGCTAAGGGCTCGACTGTGAGCTGACAGGCTGGCCAGAAGTGACTGATCATGAGGACTCTAACGAATTAATCCATGAATGGCTTCCTAGCTCAGGCCTTACAAGGAGGCGGGGCCTGGCCAGGGGACGCAGCCCCAGGGCCTGGCTGTGGAAGGCGCCACCCCTCCCAGCTCCTTTCTCCAGGCTTGACCCTCGCTCTGCTGCTTTGCTGAGTCAGCAGTTCCCGCAGCCTTAAAGCCATGAGCCGGACAAGCATGCACTAAAACTTCTGCAGTCGGGAGCCAAGAAAACCTCTCCTCCCTTGAAGACTCTCTCATTTTAAAGCAGGGTGGCCAGGCGAGGCAGCACACGCCTGTAACCCCAGCACTCGGGAGGCTGAGGCAGGAGGATCACTGCAAGTTCAAGACCAGCCTGAGCTACAAAGCGAGCTGAAGCCAGCCTGAACTGCATAGCGAGACCCTGTCTCAAAAATAAATAAATAAATGGAGCAGATTAGCACACACGGTTAATGGTACAAGCAGGCTTGAGAACCAGCGTCCAAACGAAGCCGGCTCTGAGCTGCTTCTTACCCCAGCTACGGGGTGCTTTCCCCGACGAATGACTCTGGCTGCTCGGCACAGGCCAGGCATCCCTACGCCAAAACTCTGATATGTGAAATGCTCCCAAATCCAAAACTTTTTGCACGCTCATGTGACACTGCACGTGCAAAATCCCACACCTAACGGCCTGTGAGTGGCAGTGCGAAACGGGTGCACTCAAAATGTTTACAGAATCCCCTCCAGACTCCACGTCTGGGGTGCGGATGAGACAAGCAGCTCTGGGTTTCCACGTGGGTCCCACCCCCGGGATGCTCCCCTGCACAGGCGCAGACGCCCCAAACCCTAAGCAAACCTAACACCGGAAGCACTTCCGGCCCCAAGCTCTTGGGGTGAGGGGCAATCAGTATTTTTCCCTGAGCCCCTCAGAGCTGCTTCCTGACGGAACGACCAGCGGCGGCCAACACCACCGAAGGGCCGTCACACTCGGGCTACTTCCCTCTGCAGCACCCCAAGTTCTTCGGGGCCTCCTAACTTGGCTTTCGGTCGCGTCTTCCGAGGGCCCCCAGTGTCACCGTAAGGCAGCGCTCAGCGAGCCCCAGGCCCAAGCCCCGGGGGCGTGCTTACCTGCAGGAAGCGGTCCATGATGGCCACGCACATGTACAGGGTTTCCTGCAGGAGTCGGAACTTGGAGTGCACTTGCACCAGCCAGTCCACCAGGATGGCGCGCATGCGTCCGTTTATGTCTCTTCCATCTAGGAAGCGCGGGCTGATGGACTGCAGCACCTGAGGTGGAATGGAGAAGTTTCAAGAGCTGACCTCGTTTTCCTCCCACGCTGCCTGGACCGCCCCGCTGCCCGGGCCACCCACCTCGAGCTGCCGCAGGTACTGGTAGATGTCCTTGACGTAGTCGCTGCAGAGCTGGGGGTTCTCCCAGTCTTCAGTGTCAATGTCCTCGACTTTGCAGAGCAGGGTGTCCGAGAAGGCTTGGCAGAGGTTCTCCTCCTTCATGGAGACGTCCTCGGGGGTGGGAGAAGGGCCCTGGGCCGACAAACGCAAGCACGTGTGTTCCCGCCTCTCTGCCTCCAGCGCCCAATCACCCAGCACGCTGCAGTTTGCTTCTGTCTCCCGTGTACGACTTCCTGTCCGCCGCTGCCAAAACCTAAGCTCTGTGATCTTCAGTTTACTCAGTCGGTCCCCTGTGTGCACTGAACTACCTCAAACACCCACGTGAACACAGCAGGTGCACAGTGGCAGAAGCCGGGCGTGGCACTGCACCCCTATAATCCCAGCATTTAGGAGGCTGAGGCAGGAGAATTGCGATGAGTTCAAGGCCAGCCCGAAGGACACAACAAAACCCCGTCTCAACAACAGACAAACAAACAAAAAAGGCAGAGCCCTAACTCCTGGGTGCAGAATCCTGGAGCTGATCTTGCACTAAAGCGGCAATCTCTCTGCAAGCAAAAGCTTTCTGTTCTTCAGCTAACCCTAAACCGAGGAACTGGTGACTACACTCAGAAAAGTGAACCCCAGCCTGTGAGCGAGACAGAGCAAGTGCACGGCCTAGTACTGTGCCTTGCAGTCATGACTGGGTGATCATTTACAGAAATCACACAAATTAAGACTATAAAATTAAAAGGTATCTTTTGTACTGAAGTATAGATGAAGCCATCACAGGAAAAAGGAGTAAGAGTCCTTCTCAAAATAAAGCCTGGTCTCTACAGAATGTGTACAGAATAAAATACAAAGAGAGCTTGTAGAATAAAGCAGTTCTACGGTAACTTATATTCAGGGTCAATAATAATAGTTCCCAATCTTAAGGACACAATAACAGGAGAAAAAAAAGCAGGGACTTTTGTTGTGTCTTTTGAGACAAGGCCTCCCTGTGCTGTCCAGGCTGGCCTCAAACTCCCAATCCTCCTGCCTCAGCCTCCCAGCTGCCCTCCCTTCTAACTCAAAGGTCCTAAGCAGGCAGAGCCAGGTGAGCACGGGCCCGGCAGGTGCAGATGCCATGGGTTCAAGAACTCACAAGCCCCAGGGCCCGGTGCACATGAGCTGAAAACAGCTGCTGGGGCATCATGCCGGGCAACGCCCTGGGCAGGCCAACCAGGCAAAAGGAAAGCCGGAGACGACAAGCACCCGAGGGAGCGTGGGCAGGCGCGGTGGCCAGGCGCGGTGGCCGGGCCGCACAGGTGGGAGAAGAGGGCTGGAAGGGGCGAGCCCTGCCCCCTGCAGCTTAGACCAGCTCCACAGGAAAAGCCAGATGGGGCGCAGGGCGGTGCAGCTTACTAAGTACACTGCCGCAAATTTATTCACAGCGAGGCATCATCAAACCTTCCCCGGCAAGGTGGGCAGTCCAGGAAGTGTGGTTTAGAGGAAGGGCCAGAGGCTTCGCCCTGTCCCCACGCAGTCTCAGCAGTTCAAACACTGCACTGCATCCACCTCCAAAGCGTGCCTCAGTTTAGCCACATCCAGGAGCCTCCAGGATAACACAGCTCCCGCGCTGGCCCGCTGGAGGGAAAGGCTGCAAAGCGTGCCTCCGGGCTCCGTGTCCCCGCTCTGCGCTCTGCCGTCTCTCTGCTCACCCGCTCAGCGCCCTCGGCCCAGCAAGTACTTGGGCAGCAGAACCAGGACGGCTCAACGACCGTCCCAGCTCCTACACAAGAGGCGAGCGGAGAGGTCGGTGGGCGCCCAAGGCCGGAGAGGGGACGTGAGCGAGGGAGGAGGGCATCGGAGGATGGCAGCAAGTACGGCAGGGAGGAGGGGCTGGGCAGCTACACAGGGCCTGACCGCAGACAATGACAGCACGGTGTGCACGTCACACAGGCTGCAAGAAAGGGCTGGGGACCAGGCGTGGTGGCGCACACCTATAATCCCAGCACTCGGGAGGCTGAGGCAGGAGGATCACTGTGAGTTCCAGGCCAGCCTGGGCTACATAGTGATACTCTGGGTCAAAAAAAAGATTGTGACTGTCCCACCATAAGGAAATGATACATGTGTGATGCTTACTCTGAGCAGTATACAATGTATTCATGCTCTGAAACACCACACGGCTCCTCATTAATAATGTCTATGTAGCAGTTAAAACTGGGATTACTACAGGAAGAAAGAAAACACTCCACATCTTCCCCGACAAATACTTAAAGTCTTTGAAATAACAAAAGCGGCCTGCAAATAAAAACCTCCCAGTGAGACCAACGGACTGGTAAGCAGACCTCGGAGACAACTGCAGAGTCGGGTCAGAAGCCGTGAGGACGGCGCGGCTGGAGCAGCTCGCCGGTGAGGCCCGGGCGGCAGCGGGAGCGAGGATTCTCAGCTCCAGAGGGTGGACTGACGTCAGTACGCAAACGCACAGCTATTCACACGTCCTGACTGAACAGAAGCCCCCACTATTTAGGAAATTTACGACGAATAGCTCCAGCACGACAGGAAGGCTGCCGGGAGCCGCCGGCTCTGGGCAGACAGCTGGTGATCCGTAGCAGAAAGCTGAGGCCCCACAGGGCTGCAGAAAGGCAAAGCGGCCGCCGTGATCGCTTCCGGAATGCAGCAGACACCAAACCGGGGGCAGTACAGTGACCTCGGATCCCCCCACGCCCTCTGCACGCCCGTGTTGTGTGTTGTAATTATGGCTGTTTCCGCTGTAGTTAAAATAAAAGCCCCTCTTCAATGCAAACGCTGCTCCCCCTCACAAGTGCACTGAGAAAGCCTGCCGTGAAACACGCCCACGCCTGCATGGGGGCCGTGCGCATGTGAGCTGACTCCCTCCGGGTGTCCTCGTGTGGCGACCGCACACTCCACTCCCGGCTCCCCACGGACTGGAAGCGGCACGGGGAGCGCCGTGGGGCCGGGCTGATGGTTCATCCTACTTGGTGGCCCAGGGCCAGCGAGCGAGGCCCTGTGATAACTCATCTCCTTCCTTTCAAACTGCTCAGGTTTCACCAGGGCCTGGACAGTCAGGCACACACTTTCCTCCACACTTTCTCCAGCCTAAGTCCTGTGAACGCCTGGAATTCTGCTCTCACCGAGGCCCCTGAGGGCCGCTGCCTCAGAGCCCCTCCAGGATGGCGGAGAGCACGGTAGGGATTCGGGAATGCCTCTGGAACGCGGCTCTCTTGCCCACAACCAGTACACTTTCTAGGACAGCGGCTGGACACGCGTGTGCTCAGCTGACATTTGCAGCACAGGGAGGACTGCGAAGAAGCCGGTGGTGGAGCGGGCAGGCAGAGGCGCTCGGCTGCAGAAGGCAGGGCTCCACTGGCCGCGGGCACTGAATGGGCCTCACCGCAGGATTCGCAAGCTCATGTAACTGAACTGGAAATAACTCTCCATGATTCCAGATAACTTGGAAAACCAGAATATCCAGCTTTACTTTTTCATCACAGAAGTGATCTTTGCTAAGGACAGAGCTCAAGGTCCATCATGGTTTTTGTTTCGTATGAGTCAGTGTCTCTCTGTGTAATCCAGGCTGGCCTTGAACTCACTACATAGCCCAGGCTGGCCTTGAACCCATGGTGATCCTCCTGCCTCAGCCTTCTGAGTGCTGGGATTACAGGCATGCACCACCATGCCCAGCTAGGTCTATCATGTTTTATTCTGAAATGCTAAAAGTTGCCAAGAAGCGAGAGGAAAAGGATTTAGCCAAGGGTATGGTGTAAAGGGAACTCAGAGGGGAGAGTTACACAGGTCACAAAGAAGCAGGTCCTGTCTTTCCTTTCATGACACTTCTTTGGTTCTTCTCTCCCTCCCTTTCTCTCTCCCCTGTCCCTCCCTGCTTTTGCAACACTGAGGATTGAACCCGGGAAGCACAGGTTAAGCTACATCCCCAACTTGTGCTTCGGTTTTTTGGGTTTTATTTGTTTTGAGGCAGGGTCTCACTAAGTTGCCTGGGCCATTCTCAAACTTTCAACCAACCTGGCCCAGCCCCCCAGAAGCAGAGAATACAGCTGAGCGACGTGGCGCACGCCTGTAATCCCAGCACTCGGGAGGCTGAGGCAGGAGGATCATTGCAAGTTTGAGGCCAGCCTGGGCTACATAAGTGAGCTCAAGGCCAGCCTGAACTGCATAGCGAGACCTTGTCTCAAAAAGACAAAAGAAAAAACAGAAAAGAAAAAAAAGGAGAGATTACAGACGTATGTCACTGTGCCTGGTGCCTTTTTTTTAATTGCCCCGTACTTTCCCCTTCTCCAAATAGTGATTCATGTACGTACAGTGAAAGTTTGGAAGTTGTAAGAAAATGAAAGCCAACCTTAAACCCAACATAAAAGTCAAAAATAATTACCATCAATATTTTACATGGAAATGCATCTGTAAGAGCAAATTTGGTTTCGCATTGGTATATCCTATGCAATCATCCAATTTTTCCTATTGAACAATATAAGCATTTTGACATTTTAAATGTTGTACTATAACATGATATTTATGGCTGTCCAGGAACTGGGAGTGACTCCGTGCCCAGGGGAGCTCCAGGCTGGCGCGAGGGTCCCTCGCCCTGCTGGACACCACGGTACCTCCTAGGGCTGCCTTCACCATGCCACCCTCCTGGACACAGGTCAACTTCCGTGCCACCTAACAGGGTAAAATCCCAATTCTGAAACCTGCAAGTCCACTGCAACCTTCTGCCCAAGCTCACGCAAGCCTCTGACTCAACTCAGGCCTGCGGGCGCCCTGGCCAAGCACGTTACGGGCACTATGGTGCCCTGATTTCTGCTGCTGCTGCACTGATCTCCACAAAGGCCCGCCTCTGTGGAGGACCATCTGGAGGACTCTCCCTGAAGGGGGAGCAACTGTCTCCACGTTGGCTGAGCCTGGCCCTGTTTCCACGTATTGATGTGTGCAGAGCCGGCTAGCACTTTTCCTTATCCGTCAATTGGCTTTAAGCAGTGCAAATCGGTCCAGCCGAGGTGCTGATGGGTAGTCTTTGAAGAAAAGTGACAGGGCAGAGTTTCCCCACCCCACTAGCTCCCAAATAAACATGTGTGAGCCGGGCAGGGAGGGACGGAGAGCCGAGCTCCACGCTGTTGGCTGGTATCGAGCCTCAAGATAAAAGGCAATGACTTCCTGAGGCATAAAATATTGCATATCAGAGCGGATCCCAAAACATGGGATACTGCCTCAGTTGTGTCATGCAGACTATTCTTTCTGCAGATCCCTCTCTCTGCATACGGCAGAGGTGATTTGGGGCCTCCTAACTAGCCCCAAAGCTCACAGCCGAACATACTTCCTGCCATTCTCGGTCGCTCATCTCCGAGCCACTCCCTTCTTCATGAATGAAGAAAACCTGGGTTCCCATTGGGTCGAGGCCTGTGTTCCGGAAGCCATCATCATGGCTGGACTCAGGACCCCGTGGCCCCATAACTACAAATATGCCTCAGTGTCTTCATTCTCGCCATGGGCTGCACTGGAAGTGGTAGATTGGAACTAACTCCCTAGGATTCCAATAACTTTCCCCTGGGATGACAAATATAATCCTCCCAGACCGTGACGAGGGCCAGCAAGGGCTGCACATACCCTTTCCTATCAGCGGCTCTCTAACCTTAAAAGTCACCAATCGGGATGAGGGTTCTCTGAAGGTGAGAAGTCTCCTCAGCAGACCTCCCCATCAGCAGCTGGGTATGTATATATAGTAAGCATTCAACAGGGAGAGTATATCCAATGTTTTCTTGTGAAATACTTCCAACGCCCTGCACAGTAAGGTAAGTTTTGACCTGGAAAGTGTGAAGAAGCTGCTGTTCTTATGTTGGGTTATTTTAACTTCCTGCTGTGACCACTAGAAGTATCTAGATATCAAGGTAGTTTGCATGGCTCCTCGAGGTCTAACATTGAGGTACTGAATAGAAAAGGACTATGCATTCACTTCCAGGCGCAGCCCCAGCCGTGAACTTTCTTCCGCAGTCACAGCACGGATCACGGCACCCTCGCAGTCTAGCCAGACTCCTCCCGGAAGTACTTGTAAATAGCACCTCCTACCTTGGGAGCCAGCATTTCCATCTGGACGGGTTTCACAGAAGCAGTAGGTTTCAGTTTGCTGACATTCGTTGCTCTGGCGAGTTGACCTGGTGCTCTGGTGTTCTGAGCCTTCTACAAGGAAAGAGAAACTCAGACGGGGCGGAACAGCCGGCGGGTGCCCCTGTGCCACACCCAATCACCTCTCCTCCATTTCCAGCTCCTGCCTGTTACCTTAGCAGCTTGGGCTCCTCTGGTCGTAACTCTGTTTCCAATTTCTTCTAAAACTGCACGCCTGACAGTCACATGACTCTTAGCTTTAGAATTAACTCCTGTGTCAATATTGTCCAAATCACTGGACACCTAGAAAACAAAGTAGATAAAGCAATAAAATAATTTAAAATACCTAATGCCAGATACTCAAATTTAGGATTGCTTTGGGAGCCGGGCGGTGCATGCCCGTAAACATAGCACTTGGGAGGCTGAGGCAGGACTGCCGTGAGTTCAAGGCCAGCCTGAGCTGCAGAGTGAGAACCTATCTCAAAAAAAGAAAAACGGGAGGGGAGAAAGAGTTGCTTTGGGAAAAGTGAATATGCTGAGATCTATTTGCAAGGGGGAACCGTCACCTTTTAGGGAGCCTAACTATGCTGCTTACAATTGGTAGATCGTGCTAAATCAGGCAAATCGCCCACCCACCTTACCTGTAATACTGATTCTCCGACCGACCTGGCAGAACTATTCTGATCTTTCCAGTGGGCTTTCCTTTCAGAGAACTTAAAGCTTCATAGATAAATGACTTGCTCATGTCACTAGTCAGAAAGCCCTGTAGGTCAGTCATGTAGTTAAAACCCTTCTTCTACAGAGGTTAATAACACGGGCACTTAGATGAAAATAAAAGCTCTAGCATCCATAGTAAACAATAAGCTTGCTTGTTTAAAAACCTGATGCTTAAAACCTAAACTGGTCTTATTATTCCATTCTAGAAATAAGAAATGCTCCTGCAGAGATGATCTTTCACAAATACTGCTTTTAAAAAATGAGCTTGACACCTGTAAGGCTAGCACTCTGAGAGGCTGAGGCAGGAGGACCCCAAGTTGCAACCCAGCCTGGGCAATTGAGTGGCTCAGTGAGACTCAGTCTCAAAATAAAATACCAAAAGGGCCCAGGATATCGTTCAGTGCCAAGGCCCTGTTCAATGCCCAGGACAGGAAGGGGGTATAGTATAGACTCTTATATTAAGGAGCTTAGAACGAAAATGGTTTTCTTGGATAAAATAGTTATAAGCTCCCAAACTGGGAAAGTTAGAATTGTATGGAAGAAATGCCATTTAATCTACAGTGTTTAGCTGGGCATGGTGGCGCATGCCTGCCTGTAATCCCAGCACTCGGGAGGCTCAGGCAAAAGGATCGTTGCGAGTTCAAGACCAGCCTGGGCTACAAAGTGAGCTCAAGGCCAGCCTGAACTACATAGCGAGACCCTGTCTCAAAAAAAAAAAAAAAGAGATTAAAAAAAAAAACCAAACCTACTGTATTTGACTTTAAGCGGCTTTTTCCAGAATATACTTAAAAACTTGCTACCAAAAGAAAATCATGCCAACAGAGTTTATTTCATTGTCAAAATGATCAACATTTTGTGAGAAAAAGCAGCATATCACAAGCCAAGATTACTAAAAACTCCCATGGGCCAGGGATATAGCTCAGTGGCACAAGCACCTGCCTGGCAAGCGCAAGGTCCTGAGTTTGATCCCCAGTACCGCAAAAAAAAAAAAAAAAATTTTTAAATAAAAACGCCCAACAGGGGGCTTCAAAACTGACATTTCTGAATAGAAAGAATTTGACTATTAAATAATTTCATAGGATAAATTAGTCAAAAATTAGTTGTTAGGTGGGCGTTGTGGTGCACACCTGTAATCCCAGCACTCAGGAAGCTGAGGCAGGAGGATCGCTGCAAGTTTCAGACCAGCCAGGGTTACAAAGTGAGCTCAAGGTCAGCCTGAACTACATAGCAAGACCCTGTCTCAAAAAGAAAAAAAAAAAAAAATTACTTGTTAGCTGGGCTTAGTGATGCATGACTGTAATCCTAGCACTCCGGAGGCTGAGGAAGGAGGATCAGCATGAGTTGGAGCCCAGCCTGTGTTATACAGTGAGTTCAGGGGCACCCCAAACTACATACCAAGACCCTGCCTCCAAACAGAGCAAAATTAACTCATTAATTTACATTTTTTTTAAATTATGGGACTTGTTAGTTGATCGTGGTACAAGAGGACACGAGCAGCAGATGCGCATATGGGGTATTCAGGGTTAGGCTGTCAAAGCCCACAGTGTTCAGTTTTCCAGTTATGAGCTGCTAGCTTTAAAAAGGGTCTGAAAGCTCAGTGCCAATGGGGTGAAGCCTGGTCATGTGACCGAGTTTAAATTCATCTGGAAAGGAAAACTGGCGGCTTTTAACTCGCGCGACAGCCAGGACAATGCAGCTCAGCTGTGCGGGGCACTAGTTTTTTTTCAACAAAAGTAGATCCGGCTACGACGCAGCCCCACAGGTCCACCCCTAACATTCCTGCACCGCCTCCGCTTTCACAAAGACGGGCGAATCGGGACCCTGGTTTTTTTTGTTTGTTTGTTTGTTTGTTTGTTTGTTTTCCCGGTACCGGGAATCGAACTCACGACGTCGCGCTTGCCAGGCAGGCGCTGTGCCGCTGAGCTCAGTCCCCGGCCCCGGCTCTTCGGAGGGCCGAGCTGAGGGCTTCTGGCCGCGGGACCCCGTCCTCTGCGGACACGGCGCGAAACGTGGCACACGCGGGGCAGCCCCGGC